TCCCTTGAAATCTAGGAAAGCTGCAATTGATGTTGATGTCATTTTGAAGAACTTTTCCAGCTCTATCCAATGCTCAGCACAACTTTGTCCTAAAATATTTTCTTATAGCTTTTTCAAAGCTTTGAATGCAGTATACTCGATGAGCAAGCTGGCATGACTTTCTTTTTCTAGCTTTAAATAGACCTGAAAGTGGCGGGAACAGTTCAAGATATCAACGATGCTTTGGGCCTAGATTTGCAATAAATGTGCTCAGAAGCAGTAGTTAAAAAATTTATTGTAAGGAAGGCGAGAGCCTTGAATATGATGAGAGTAGTGGTCGGACATCGGACGGTGTCTCCGATTAGCCAAAAGTTCTGATTGAAGCACTTGTGCGTAAGACCATAGAGGGAGGTTCTGCCCAACGTGGGCGTATATGTATAGTAAACATGACACATGCTCTACGGAAAAGGCCTGGAAAGTCCAAAATAATTTGACACTAGGGGCGTGCCGCGCACAAATCACCAGCCCAATTTGACAGGGGTACGTCATACCAAAATTGTCGCTTCTAGTGATTAAAGGGACTCGTTTCTGGCTAGAGCAGCATTGCCGACCGTAACAATAACAGAGCAGATCTCTCTCACAATGAAGCTCTACAAACTTTGCAGAATTTAAACTGTGCTGGAGGAGGGTTGTGGCAGCTTTCATGGGGTCAGCGGCTGGCCATGTTCTTCAGTATCAGATGGAACTGTTACAGTGGAGAATCAATCTTTATTAATTCAAAAATCATCAAAAACTCTAAGGCATGGGTCCAGGCGCGACAACGGCTTTTTGGGTGCGTCCCAGAGTTGCCCCGCAAATCCGCGTGGCAGCGCTGCGCGAGAATCAACGTGTACGAAGCAAGTCTTTCGTGGGCTCCTGCAGTGGATCTCAACAAAAACAACGCTCAGAAACGTCTGCAGATTCGCGTATCCAGAATTGCTCACAAGGTCTGCGATTCGAAGACGTGATTCCAACGCGTGGATATTCAAACCAGAGAAGGAAGAGAAGAAAAAGGAATAGCAAAAGGCTGTTATAGCAATCAGAGCGCTTAGGTTGCTGGCGCTTGTTGTTAAGGGGGGGGGGAATCCCATGAGCGGAGAGATTCAACCAATTATTGTGTTTGGGACTAAGCCTGAGGGGAAGAGTTTCTCGTGGAGGATGTGAGCAATTTCTGTTCTCCCGAGCGTATTTCCCTTCTCATGAGCTTAGTTCTAGTGTCACCTTCCATTGGCCCTGTTTTGAAAGTTCTCCCCAAGGACAGGAGCGCCGCGATTAGCAAAGATATAGAGTTGACAATAAATAACATCTCACTAAATGACTCCATTTTTAGTGCTTCTTATTCATTTATAATATGATAATAGTGACATTTTCTATGAAGTTTCTTTCTTTCTTTTCCGCCTGGTGATCTCCTCACACAAGTGTTTTCCGTAGGCTCGAGTTCCCACACTGAACAAAATGACCGCTTTGTAACACCTGCTGCCCCTCTCACCGATCTGCGCGAGTGGGAAGTATCTTTCGGAGCGGAACCTTGTGGATTCTATATGCACACGTTCTGACGTGTTGGATTCCACTCCAGAAGTCTCGCTGCAAAAGATCTTGCCGCGTCCCGGGATCGCCGCACAGCCGACGCGCTATTCGCCGTCGCTGCAAAACCCCGAGAACGCATCAAAAACTCTAGGACATGGGTCCAGCATTCCTCATTATAAAGGAACACACACATCCCTGAAAGGTGTCTTGAACGCACATCGCACGGCCAACCCTTCACAAGTTGTACCAGCTAAACTTCAGAGTGGTTCTGCGAACATCTTACTTAGTAGACCTTTGATCTATCTACTGTCAAATTTCTGACGATCTCGATAGCTTCCTTGAAGAGAAATACATCAAAACCCAACATGATGCTAAAACGACCTTCCCTCAGTTGCATAGCTCGTCCCAGAGGTACCAGCTTTCATATACAACGTAACACAGTGTTGCTTCGTGTTCGCGCTCTCGAACGGTTTTTTATTCAACAAGCAAGGTTCAGTCTAAAGATAAGTGGAGATACGCGCATTTTAATAGGGGTTGGAGAACGACAGAACATTCCGAAACACCTAATACATAGTAAACACCAATGAACGGATTCCCTTCTGCGGTGGGCTACCGAACTTCAAGTTTTCATTGAAAAGCGCCCGAAAGAAACCAAACCCACCAACTTTTCGTTATCGAAGGACTATTCAGCACGCCATTTGCTGACTTGGCAATGAGAATGATCTGATTGTGAAAACGGTCTTCCATGTACAACACGAAAACCAGAGTCCTAGTTTTCTTGACACATTTCCTTTCTCATCTTTAAGGTTTATCAATGCCAAGTAAGTGTAGCCCATCAAACCCAAACACAACAAAAGACCGACATTTATGGTCTAAAAAGCAATAACAAATCACATACATACACGTTCAAAATAATATTCAAAATAAATAAAACGTGTATATCCGCAGTGAATGACATGAATATGTACACTGCGTTAGATTCCCTTAAGGTTTTTTTTTTGATTTCGTTACATTTTTTTTCAGTTCTAGTGAATCCACGAAAAAAAATTGCAAGGAACCTGCACCTTTACTCAACACATTGGCGATCATGTAAGAGCCAACGGCGACGTAAGCAAACCAGCCCTTTTGGCGCTTCGGCTGGGACCGTATGCTGAATGTTGGGGAGGGGATGGAGTCCCCGACGGTGGACGGACCACTTCAACTCGGTCCTTAGAACCGCCACAATTTGGTGCTTACCTCAGAACTAAGCCTTAAAGAGAGGACGGGTCCGTCCCCTCTCCAAGGCTTAGTCCTGGGGTGAGCAAACCAGCCCTTCTGGCGGAGCTGCTGGACCAGCTGCACCACTTGCGTCAGTACTCTCCTATCGTACCAACCGAGTTGAAGTAAACCGTCGACCGTTGGGGACCCCATCCCCTCCCCAACATTCAGCATACGGTCCCAGCCGAAACGCCAAAAGGGCTGGTTTGCTTACCTCGTCAACGGCTCGTTGTGGCGATTCAAATCTTTCCGCGACCCCTTTACCTTTAAAGAAATCCTTCTAGGAAAATCGTGATTTTATCTCACCCATAATTTACTGGCTTGAGACCCATTGTCCACTATAAGAAGGAAAAAACAAAAAAAAATGAATTCGCGTCGGCAACAATTCGAATTACCGGAAAGACGCATTCAAGTTGCTGCCGACATCTGTCACAAATGCTGGGCGGCGGCGGGAACGCTTCGCAAGGGGTGCTGTCACATTGAAACCCTTTTCGACTTTTTGACTTATTCCACCAACATCTCACACTTCTACTGCACCCTATTCTATCGATTTTTTGTCTCTACTCTCCAAAATCGCACGCCTCAACATGATTCTTTCGGTACGTCGCCTGGCACGTTGCCGAAACAAGGCGCACTTGGTCCATAGAATGGATTTTCGTGAGTTTGTTTCTCTCCGGGAACTGAATCTTTGTATGTGAAACTTTGTACGCTGAGTCTAGTGACGCATTCATATTGGGAAAGAATGCAACAATTTTCCGGGAAGGATTCCTTTGAAAGTGCTTATTTTAGGTGAACCATGTTGTGTTGTGTGGAAGAATATCATTTGTTTCATGCAGTTAGCTATAATGCAACCTCTCACAAAAAGAGATCTGATCAATTCCCCTTTACGGATTCTCGAGTGAAAATTGGAATTTTTAGAGGTGTTTTTGAGTTTCCACTCAGCTAAACGAGAAGATTTTGCATGGTCTAAGGATAGTCAGCAATGGTTTGAGGCAAACGAAGTTCCAACAATGTCCGCATATAATTATTATGAAACACCGGTCGTATAGGTGCGCTCCTGCATTAGAACGCATTTTTTTAGAAATATTAAAAAATCGCCAGTCGGTTAGTGTTCATACAATAGATTCATCAGTTTCTTGATAGTTGAGTACCACTACAAGTCCCCCAACCATGAATGCTCTTTAATAGTGACCATGAAGATGTGACGTGGATATTCGTAGGCCGGCCTGTCACGGGGGCCTGTCGCCTGCATTCGAATGTCCGCGATCAGCTCAGCCCACAAAAGTGAGCAGTTCCCAGTGGCACCACTTGGAGGAAGCGGACCCCACCACCAATGCTCTTTAATAGTAAATACAGTGAAAAATTCCTTTGAAGTGCTACCCTTATAGCAAAAGACTTCAAGCGAAAAAAAGATAACTCTCTGTGCCAATAGTGGATCCCTAAATCTGTGACGGTCTGATCCTCCAAATCGCTAACTTTCACTCTACACTAATTGAGAGATCATTAAATAATGGTAGTCATAAGTGTAAGCATCCTTCTCTGCAAACGAAATAAGTTCATAAAAGAGAGCAGGATATCGGAATAAAGATCTCACCACGCGCCGAACGGTAAGCACATAATGATATTACTGGTGGCCGTGTAGGTCTAATATGGCCTTTGCACTCACAAGGGAGGTCTTTCAGGGCAAGCCGCGCTTTTTGGAAACGGTTTCTTGCATATTGTAGGGACGCATGTATGGACCACAAAACCATGTTTCGTTTTCGCTGAACGGTTTTAGTAGTACCAAAAAAGTGGTGAATGATACCCTTGATGGTTCGATCCCCCGCGGCGACTAAATTTTGCAATCAAGGTTGGCGGCCACTTGTTGGCTTCAAAATGGTCCTGACGATGAATTTGACATCTGATTTTGATATTTAGCGCGATTTGGCACCAAACCGTAGGCGCCAACCCAAATGCAAAATTTAGTCGCCACGGGGGATCGAACCCTTAACAGTACCTTATGCTTCTTTTTTGGTACTGCTATAACCGTTCAGCGAAAATGAAACATGGTTTTGCGTTCCCTACATGCGTCCCTACAATATGCAAAAACCGTTTTGAAAAAGCGCGGCTTGCCCTGAAAGACCCTCCTTGTCAGTATCTTTCATAAGTCATAAAAACCTGTTCTTCAGATAGGATGTAGGATGTTGTCCGATCAATTTTTAAAACAAAGACAAGGCAACTGAGAAAATAACAATAAACAAATAGTAAAAGACATGTGCCTTGTTGGTGGACGCTTCAGGTGCCACCGTTGTTGTAGGCACTGTCGGTGGTGAAGTACTGGGCAGTGGAAAAACGCCTATAATCAAAAGTATATTATTTTTTTAAATAAATATTTTTTACCTTGGATAAATGAAAGAGTGATCTGAGAGGTCATCAAAGGAGTCAATGCATGTTCTGTTGCAAGTTAATTTTGCAGTATCAATAGATGAACGGCGCAAGTGCTCTAACGAATCCCATGCAGTCTGCCTTACTACTACTACTACAAGAACGGATGAGCTTCAGTTGCTACCGTCGTATTTTGAAAATTCATCATTCATTGGTCAGAGAGTTCATAGTCGGCGTTTGAGTCTAGCGACTGAAACGGGCGACTAGTCGCTCGCCTCAACGGCCCTAGCCATCTCACCTGAGGCCGATGTCAGAATCCAGCGATTCGCCAGCGTCCGTGGTCGCGTTGCGGTACCAGAATTGAGCGATTAGCTGGCCCGGTACGCGACTGTGGACGCTAGCGAATTGCTGGACGGGTAAAGTCTAACATCGGCCTAACTAGATAAATCCTGCGCCGTTCTGCTCTGAACTGATACAGTAATTGAATTCTGGTGATAATTCTACGAGGACATACTATCTACAGTACTTTGCACGAGTTTGAAATGCTCAGTTGTTGCAATCGCAATGGAGTTCATTGTCAGATTGAACTCACTTGATTCGCACAGCTGTCCATAGTAACCCGTTCTGCATACACAGATCGACATCGATCTCGTGCCGCCGTTCTTACAAGTCGGCTTATCGCAGTACTCTCCGCTGTATCCTGTAGGACAAACGCACTCGCCGAACTGATTTGGTGCTCCTTCCCCGCAGATGTTATCTAAACATGCAAAAATAATACTAATAAGCAAGATAATGGATTGCTAAGCCTTTTAAAGGAAGCGATTACGATAAGGAATTTTCGCATCGGGGGAGAACCTGCGCCACACGGAGCAATTACTTGGCTGCCAAGGAAGCGATGTGTGGCGCTTCCACGGCGAAAGGTGCTGTGGTTGCTGAGCAGGACTTCGAAAGCGCTCCGCCCACAGTTACTTGTTGATTTGGACGAGCTGCGTGCCAGCAGCGGCGCAAATGGAGCATCTCGATTAAAGCGTGGTTTGGCATGGTGCCATCAAACGCGTTGCGGTGAACTCGTTCATACGTCCACTTTCTGAGCTGTTACCTGTTCATGAGTGAAAACCAACGGCCAAAAAAGGGGTCCCGTTTTGCGTTTTCTTGACGGATTTTTCCTTTTTCGCTGCTGGGTACCATTGAGCACCACCACGTACGCCTTCTTGAATTCGTACCGCTACCTTTAATGGACCTTACAACATTTTCTACACTAATCAGCATCACAGTGTGCCGTATTGTGAGAAAGAAAATGTCTTTGGCAATAAGAAGTCTGTTGGGGTGTGCGGGCCAAGACCTGCTTTCGTGGTAGCTGGTTGATGTATCTACCAACGAGTTGCATTGCAAAAGCTAGTGTACCCCTCGCATTTGAGCTCTTGAACACGACGGATCTCTAAGCCTCTGTGCATGCTCCAGTTCTACATGAGACCCGCACTTTTTGACTTAGACTGCCTTGGCGATCTTTAGGTTCCCTTTGTCGGCGGAGCGGTGATTCCCAGTCGTACCGTGTCGCTCTTCTTCGCTGTGGTGGCTCCAGTTCGCATTTTTGCTGCTAGAGCTAGCCTTTAATGGAGGCATATGGCGCTAAACAGGTTCTAATCCTTTTATCTGTTGCATAGTTCTTATATATACGTGTCCTCCCCCCTTCTTGTTCGCGGCAGGTCACCCTGTGGAAATTGCGCTACTTTGTAGTCAGCGTGGCGAAGATTCACCCACAGTATTGGTCTTGTTTTATCAATTCTCTTGAAGCACTAGTGGAGGGACTCTTCCGTGGTATTGCGTGATATTGATATGCGCATGTATTTTTGTCTCGAGGATTGACAGTTATCGAAGAAAAGCTGTTCTTGTCATTCCATGGCTCGGTCACACTTGACGGTCCTATTTTCACTGAGCTTACCACAAAATCCGACGGGGAAACACGGAATGATGCATATGTGTTGTTGGTCGCGGCGCCTACTGATTATTCCGGTATTTCAGGGTTGAAGGAAAATACCGTAAAGTTGGTAAAACAGCGCTCACCCCTTGCCGAAAATGGCGAATCTGCCACAAAGTCGCTGCCGCTTGACGTGAAACCTGGTAATACTGTAAGTGAGGAGATGACGCGCGCCTGGAAAATATTTGGGTTGGTGGAACTCCAGCTAACACTGACACAGTTTCACAAGAATGCTGGGTTGTGAACAAAACTTTCGCCCCAGGCGGGACTAGAACCCGCACCTCTCGCACAAAAAACTGACATCAGTATTGCAGTCGACGCTGGCTAAGTCCACCAAAGTGCACCATTTACCTCACAAGGGAGGTCTTTCAGGACATGGAGCGCTTTTTCGAAATGGTTTTCTGCATGTTGTAGGGGCTCATGCGAGGAACACAGAACCATGATCCATTTTTCCTGAACGCCTCCAGGAATGTCAAAACAGTGGTGAAGAAATGGTCCAGAGTTCGATCCCCGGTGATGACTAATTTTTGCAATATAGTTTGGCGCCCCCAGATTGCCGCCAAATGGCGCCATCGTCGAGAATAGATGTCATTGTCGTGTTTTGCGGCAATTTTGGAGGCCCAACATAAATTGCAAAAATTTGTCATCACGGAGGATCGAACTTTGGACCATTTCTTCCCGCTGTTTTGACATTCCTGGGGGCGTTCAGGAAAAATGGACCATGGTTCTGTGTTCCTCACATGAGCCTCTACAAAAACCAGGGAACCTTTTCGAAAAAACGCTCCATGTCCTCAAAGACCCTAGTTGTCAGTTCCCTTGTAGATATAGGTACCTAACGTGCTCAACGTCTTGCCAAGGTCAGCCGATGATCAAATCGAAGTTTTATGTGCACTTTCGGGTTAGACGTGCATCACCTAATCGCCCCAGAAGGGATGAAAAGCTTGCTCGGTCTGGAGACCTCTACTTCATTGGGCACAGTATAACACCTTTTACCGTTGCACTGTAGTCTACTATCAGGGGACATCCTGTACATGGTACTACACCTGCTTGAATGGAGGAAGCTAGAAAATTCTCTTACCTGAACATAACATGATCCAGTCGTGGTTTTCACAGTTAAAGACCAGGCTACACCGAGATGATTGAGTTTTGTCGCATCTAAAATGTTTGATGACAAAATTGAAACTAACACTAGAAATCCTATAGAAACTTACCGATGGCTAAGCTGACAGTATTCCTATCAATGTAGATCGTGTTTTTGGTCACGTCAATATCGTCATCTATAATAAAAAGCGAAAGTTACAAAGCTGTCATTACTCTCACCTACAATGACTGAGTTTTGGAAAAGTGTCCAGTTTT